ACACGAGGCTTCTCTCACACAGAGGTTTACCTCACACTCCTTGGAACAACACTAGCTTTGGCCCAGTGACTCTAGCAGGCTTTGGCCTACTAAAACTTTTCTATAACACAAATAAACAAATACATAGTAGCTTTCCACGCAGCAGCCTTCACACTGGAGCTTTCTCACACAAGGCTTTTCTCACACAGAGGTTTACCTCACACTCCTTGGGACGACACTAGCTTTGGCCCACTGACTTTAACAGGCTTTGGCCTACTAAATCTTTTCCATAACACAAATAAACAAATACATAGTAGCTTTCCACGCAGCAGCCATCACACTGAAGCTTTCTCACCCAAGGCTTCTCTCACACAGAGGTTTACCTCACACTCCTTGGGACGAAACTAGCTTTGGCCCACTGACTCTAACAGGCTTTGGCCTACTAAATATTTTCCATAACACAAATAAACAAATACATAATAGCTTTCCAGCAGACTTCACACTGGAGCTTTCTCACACAAGGCTTCTCTCACACAGAGGTTTACCTCACACTCCTTGGGATGACACTAGCTTTGGCCCACTGACTCTAACAGGCTTTGGCCTACTATACCTTTTCCGTAACACAAATGAACAAATACATAGTAGCTTTCCACGCAGCAGCCTTCACACAGGAGCTTTCTCACACGAGGCTTCTCTCACACAGAGGTTTACCTCACACTCCTTGGGACGACACTAGCTTTGGCCCACTGACTCTAACAGGCTTTGGCCTACTAAATCTTTTCCATAACACAAATAAACAAATACATAGTAGCTTTACACACAGCAGCCTTCAGACTGGAGCTCTCTCACACGAGGCTTCTCTCACACGGAGGTTTACCTCACACTCCTTGGAATGACACTAGCTTTGGCCCAGTGACTCTAGCAGGCTTTGGCCTACTAAATATTTTCCATAATACAAATAAACAAATAGGTAGTAGCTTTCCACACTGGAGCTTTCTCACACGAGGCTTCTCTCACACAGAGGTTTACCTCACACTCCTTGGAACAACACTAGCTTTGGCCCAGTGACTCTAGCAGGCTTTGGCCTACTAAAACTTTTCTATAACACAAATAAACAAATACATAGTAGCTTTCCACGCAGCAGCCTTCACACTGGAGCTTTCTCACACAAGGCTTTTCTCACACAGAGGTTTACCTCACACTCCTTGGGACGACACTAGCTTTGGCCCACTGACTTTAACAGGCTTTGGCCTACTAAATCTTTTCCATAACACAAATAAACAAATACATAGTAGCTTTCCACGCAGCAGCCATCACACTGAAGCTTTCTCACCCAAGGCTTCTCTCACACAGAGGTTTACCTCACACTCCTTGGGACGAAACTAGCTTTGGCCCACTGACTCTAACAGGCTTTGGCCTACTAAATATTTTCCATAACACAAATAAACAAATACATAATAGCTTTCCACGCAGCAGCCTTCACACTGGAGCTTTCTCACACAAGGCTTTTCTCACACAGAGGTTTATCTCACACTCCTCGGGACGACACTAGCTTCGGCCCACTGACTCTAACAGGCTTTGGCCTACTAAATCTTTTCCATAACACAAATAAATAGTAGCTTTCCACACAGCAGCCTTCACGCTGGAGCTTTCTCACATGAGGCTTCTCTCACACAGAGGTTTACCTCCCACTCCTTGGGACGACACTAGCTTTGGCCCAGTGACTCTAACAGGCTTTGGCCTACTAAATATTTTCCATAACACAAATAAACAAATACATAATAGCTTTCCACGCAGCAGCCTTCACACTGGAGCTTTCTTACACAAGGCTTTTCTCACACAGAGGTTTACCTCACACTCCTCGGGACGACACTAGCTTCGGCCCACTGACTCTAACAGGCTTTGGCCTACTAAATCTTTTCCATAACACAAATAAATAGTAGCTTTACACACAGCAGCCTTCACACTGGAGCTTTCTCACACGAGGCTTCTCTCACACAGAGGTTTATCTCACACTCCTTTGGGACGACACTAGCTTTGGCCCACTGACTCTAACAGGCTTTGGCCTACTAAATCTTTTCCATAACACAAATAAATAGTAGCTTTACACACAGCAGCCTTCACACTGCAGCTTTCTCACACGAGGCTTCTCTCACACAGAGGTTTACCTCACACTCCTTTGGGATGACACTAGCTTTGGCCCACTGACTCTAACAGGCTTTGGCTACTAAATCTTTTCCATAACACAAATAAACAAATACATAGTAGCTTTCCATGCAGCAGTCTTCACACTGGAGCTTTCTCACACGAGGCTTCCCTCACACAGAGGTTTATCTCACACTCCTCAGGACGACACTAGCTTTGGCCCACTGACTCTAACAGTCTTTGGCCTACTAAATCTTTTCCATCTTCACCAATTCCATTCTTCTGTCCAATGAGGTGTGGCTAGGGGAGGGACTCATAAAGGGAGGGTGGAGCTAACTGATGGGCGTGTCTTTCTCCTTGATTGGCAGGCGTCAAGGTTCCTCCAGGTCACGAGAGGCGGAATATGCGGACAAGCCAGGACAGTACCTGATTGGGCACGGTGAGTGCCTGCAAAGATAGAGGCGGGGCTAGTTTCAGTGGGAGGGCCAAATAGGGTGTGGGAGGAGCCTAGCAGACTGCAGTGGGCGGAGCATTTTTTTTAATAGGTTGGGCATCCCATCTCTGAATATATTACTACTATTACTATTATTGTTGTCGAAGGCTTTCATGGCTGGAATCACTGGGTTGCTGTGAGTTTTTTGGGCTGTATAGCCATGTTCCAGCAGCATGGAAAACTCACAGGAACCTATTATTATTATTATTATTATTATTATTATTATTATTACTATCAGTGTTTGAATCTTCTTATTACTATTTTCAATTTTGGAGTATTTATTTATTTATTTCCTATATTTATACCCTGCCCTTCTCACCCCCGAGGGGGGGGGGGACTCAGGGTGGCCTCACAAAAGCACCATACGAAATGTATTATTATTATTGATACGAAATGTATTATTATTATTGTTATTATTTATAATTGTACTACCCATCCCCTGCCATGCGTTGCTGTGGCCCACATGGGGGTTCTGTGTGGGAGGTTTGGCCCAATTCTGTCGTTGTTGGAATTCAGAATGCTCTGTGATTGTAGGTGAACTATAAATCCCAGCAACTGCAACTCCCAAATGTCAAGATTCTATTTTCCCCAAACTCCACCAGTATTCACATTTGGGCATATTGAGTATTCGTGTGGAGTTTGGTCCAGATCCATTATTGTTTGAGTCCACAGTGCTCTCTGGATGTAGGTGAACTACAACTCCCAAACTCAAGGTCAATACCCACCAGGGGCGGCTGAAGCAATAGGCAAGATACGCATTTGCGTATAGCGCAAATCCCTGAGGGGCACTCTTGAGGTGCCCCCGATATCCACCAAACCCCTCTGGATGCAGGTGAACTACAACTCCAAAACCAAAGGACACTGCGCACCAAACACTTCTAGTATTTTCTGTTGGTCATGGGAGAACTGTGTGCCAAGTTTGGTTCAGTTCCATCGTTGGTGGGGTTCAGAATGCTCTTTGATTGTAGGTGAACTATAAATCCCAGTAACTACAACTCCCAAATGTCAAGGTCTATTTTCCCCAAACTCCATCTGTGTTCATATTTGGGCATATGGAGTATTTGCCAAGTTTGGTCCAGATCCATCATTGTTTGAGTCCACAGTGATCTCTGGATGTAGGTGAACTACAACTCCAAAACCAAAGGACACTGCCCACCAAACCCTTCCAGTATTTTCGGTTGGTCATGGGAGAACTGTGTGCCAAGTTTGGTTCAATTCCATCATTGGTGGGGTTCAGAATGCTCTTTGATTGTAGGTGAACTATAAATCCCAGCAACTACAACTCCCAAATGACAAAACCAATTTTTTGAGTGAAGGACATACATTGGGTTGTTAGGTGTCTTGTGTCCAAATTTGGTGTCAATTCGTCCAGTGGTTTTTGAGTTCTGTTAATCCCACAAAAGAACATTACATTTTTATTTATTTAGAAATATTAAATCAGAATCAAACCTATAATTATTCCAAGCATGCCAATTAAGATCACTTAAACAAAAACTGTTAAAATAATTGAAATAATTATATAGCACCCCCGGCTTGTTCCTAAACGCTTTTCTGCTTTGAAAACCCGCCTTTTAGATTGCTCTCATGTGCCGTTTTGCTTTCGGGTGATTTGGTTTACATCAGTTTTGTCTCATAGAATCATAGAATCATAGAATAGAATCATAGAATCCTAGAGTTGGAAGAGACCTCCTGGGCCATCCAGTCCAACCCCATTCTGCCAAGAAGCAGGAATATTGCATTCAAAGCACCCCTGACAGATGGCCATCCAGCCTCTGTTTCAAAGCCTCCAAAGAAGGAGCCTCCACCACACTCCGGGGCAGAGAGTTCCACTGCTGAACGGCTCTCACAGTCAGGAAGTTCTTCCTCATGTTCAGATGGAATCTCCTCTCTTGTAGTTTGAGGAGATTCATGCACAAAATTATTTGAACTAATGGGTATAAAATGACCTTCAGGGTAGAAGGTGTTTACGGAACATCAACGAAGTTTGTGTTTGGACTTGGCTCCCGTCTCCAAGATGCCCCATGCAAATATTTCATAATAATAATAATAATAATAATAATAATAATAATAATAATAATAATAACTTATTTTATTTATTTGTCGTGTCAGGGCAACCAGGCAATTGTATTACATTTCTAACAGAACAAAACAAACAGACAGACAAAACACAAAATTTGCAAGCTTGGTAGCTGATTAAATGTCCTTTGACCAGTATCTGTCCCCTTGGAGTGCCTCTGGTCTTGCTGCAAGGAGGTCCTCCCTTGTGCGTGTGGCAGGGCTCAGGGTGCATTGCAGCAGGTGGTCAGTGGTTTGCTCCTTCTCCGCACTCACATGTCGTGGATTCCACTTTGTGGCCCCATTTCTTGAGGTTGGCTCTGCATCTCATGTGGTACCAGAGCGCAGTCTGTTCAGTGCCTTCCAAGTCGCCCAGTTTTCTGTGTGCCCAGGGGGGAGCCTCATTTGGTATCAAGTTCTGGGTTTGAGCCTGCCACTTTTGGACTCTCGCTTGCTGGGGTGTTCCAGCGAGTGTCTCTGTAGATCTTAGAAAACTATTTCTTGATTTAAATCTTTGACGTGCTGGCTGATACCCAAACAGGGGATGAGCTGGAGATGTCTCTGCCTTGGTCCTTTCACTATTGGCTGCTACTTCCCGGCGGATGTCAGGTGGTGCAATACCGGCTAAGCAGTGTAATTTCTCCAGTGGTGTCGGGCGCAGACACCCCGTGATAATGCGGCATGTCTCATTAAGAGCCACATCCACTGTTTTAGTGTGGTGAGATGTGTTCCACACTGGGCATGCATACTCAGCAGCAGAGTAGCATAGCGCAAGGGCAGATGTCTTCACTGTGTCTGGTTGATCCCAAGGTTGTGCCAGTCAGCTTTCGTATGATATTGTTTCTAGCACCCACTTTAATCATTTATTTAATAATAATAATAAATAAAGTATTATTATTATTATTATTTACCATTTGGGATGGTAAATAATAATAGTAATACTTTATTTATACCCCGCTACGATCTCCCAAGGGACTCGGTGCGGTTTACATGTGGCCGAGCCCACAATACATCAATAATAAAAGCAATAACAACAAATAATACAAAACAATAAAATAAAACCCATAACAAAAAAATAAGCAATAAACATTAACAGTAACACAGCGACGTTTAAAAACCCATGGCTGGGCCAAATGTAATAATTAAAATTTAAAATAATGCTGAGCATGAACAGATGAAATATGAGCTAGGACAATCAAGGAGACCAAACAATACTAATTTAGCCGGAAGAAGTTTTTGTTGATCTTTCATGTCCCAAGCTAAGCAGAGCTGGCACATTGGGGAGCTGCAATGGCCAGGAATTCTGGGTATTGTAGTCCCCAAAAGTCCAACTTCCCTGTGCCTTCCTAACTGGACCACTGCTTCTGTCTGTCTTTCCTTCAGGCACCAAAGTCTACATCGACCCCTTCACTTATGAGGATCCCAACGAAGCCGTGCGCGAGTTTGCCAAGGAGATTGATGTCTCGTATGTCAAAATCGAGGAGGTCATTGGGGCAGGTAAGGCGGGTCGGGCCCTTCCGGAGACCTTCCCTTTGTATGGAGACCCTCTTGGCCCCTCACCAGATGCTTCCTTCCTTGGCAGGGGAGTTTGGGGAGGTGTGTCGCGGGCTCCTGAAGGTCCCTGGCAAGAAGGAGATCTACGTGGCCATCAAGACGCTGAAGGGGGGCTACACGGAGAAGCAGCGGCGGGAGTTCCTGAGCGAGGCCAGCATCATGGGGCAGTTCGAGCACCCCAACATCATCCGCCTGGACGGCGTCATCACCAGCAGCGTCCCTGTCATGATCGTCACCGAGTTCATGGAGAACGGGGCCCTCGACTCCTTCCTGCGGGTAAAATAATAATTCATAGATCATAGAATCATAGAATCAAAGAGTTGGAAGAGACCTCCTGGGCCATCCAGTCCAACCCCATTCTGCCAAGAAGCAGGAATATTGCATTCAAATCACCCCTGACAGATGGCCATCCAGCCTCTGTTTAAAAGCCTCCAAAGAAGGAGCCTCCACCACACTCCGGGGCAGAGAGTTCCACTGCTGAACGGCTCTCACAGTCAGGAAGTTCTTCCTCATGTTCAGATGGAATCTCCTCTCTTGTATCTCTGTCCTCTAAAATGGAGTCTGAGCTCTGAGCAGTCCCAGATCTGATCATGTGCTCTGCAGCCCCTCCCACAACCTCAAGAAACATAGAATAAAGGGAAAGCTGCATACCAAAACATACATCTACAGTATAGTAAGCAAGCAGGATCACATACAAAACAAATTATTAATGAAGGTTTGAAGAAGGTTGCTATTTGCAAAAGGGATCTCCAAAGGCCATCCAGTCCAACCCCATTTTGCCATGCAGGAAGACACAATCTAAGCACTGAGTCTGAGCTCTGAGCAGTCCCAGATCTGATCATGTGCTCTGCAGCCCCTCCCAGAACCTCGAGAAACATAGAGTAAAGGGAAAGCTGCACACCAAAACATACATAGACAATAAAGTAGGCAAACAGGATCATATACAAAACAAACTACTAGTGGAGGCTTGAAGAAGGTTGCTATTTCCAACAGGGATCTCCAAAGGTCATCCAGTCCAACCCCATTTTGCCATGCAGGAAGACACAATCTAAGCACTTCCAGCAGATGGCCATCCAGATTCTGCTTAAAAACCTCCAGAGAAAGAGGTCCAGAGAAGAATGTGTTGTCAAAGGCTTTCATGCCCAGAATCACTGGGTTGCTTTGAGCTTTCCGGGCTGTATGGCCATGTTCCAGAAGCATTCGCTCCTGACGTTTAACCCACATCTAGTCAGGCATCCTCAGAGGTTGTTTCCAACAGACCTCCCAACCTCTGAAGATGCCTGCCATAGATGTGGGTGAAACATCAGGAAAGAATGCTTCTGGAACATGGTCATACAGCCCAGAAAACTCACAGCAACCTCAATAATGAATGTTCACAAACAGCGTACAACTAAAACACTGATAAGCTCAGTAAAATCTCACAGTTCTCAACCTTTGATAGTGGATAATGGACAGCATAATCCACTGTCGAACAGCTCTTGTGCTCTGGAAGTTCTTCCTAATGTTTAGGTCAGTGTATCTCAACCTGGGGGTCGGGACCCCTGAGGGGGTCGTGAGGGGTTGTCAAAGAGGTTGCCAAAGACCATCAGAAAACATAGTATTTTCTGTTGGTCATTGGGATTCTGTGTGGGAAGTTTGACCCAATTCTATTGTTGGTGGAGTTCAGAATGCTCTTTGATTGTAGGTGAACTATAAATCCCAATAACTACAACTCCCAAATGTCAAGGTCTCTTTTCCCCAGACTCCACCAGTATTCACATTTGGGTATATTGAGTATTCGTGCCAAGTTTGGCCCAGATCCATCATTGCATGAATCCACAGCACTTCTCTGGATATAGGTGAACTACAACTCCCAATCTCAAAGTCAATGCCCACAAAAGCCTTCCAGTGTTTTCTAATCGTCATGGGAGTTCTGTTTGCCATGTTCGGTTTAAATCCATCGCTGGTGGAGTTCAGAATGTTCTTTGATTATAGGTGAACTGTAAATCCCAGCAACTACAACTCCCAAATTACAAAATCAATCCTCCACCCCACCCCCCAACCCCACTAGCATTCACATTTTTGCATATTTGGTATTTGTGCTCAATTTAGTCCAGTGAATGAAAATACATCCTGCATATCAGATATTTACATTACGATTTATAACCGTACTAAAGTGACAGGTATCAAGTAGCAACGAAAACAATATTATAGTTGGGGGTCACCACAACATATTGAACGGCATTAAGGGGTCACGGCATTAGCAAGGTTGAGAACCACTGGTTTAGGTAGAATCTCTTTTCCTGCAGTTTGATTCCATTGCTCTATTGTGTCCCAGTCTCCAGAGCAGCAGCTTGCATGTTGATGTAGTGGTCGGCCATAGCTTTGGTGGGTGGACCAACTACCAGAACCAGGTCTTGTGGGCAGTTTAGAAGTGCAAGCTTTGTGCCTTGACGCTCTCCTCGGTTGCCTCCTCGCAGCTGAACGACGGCCAGTTCACCCCCATCCAGCTGGTGGGCATGCTGCGGGGGATCGCCTCCGGGATGCGCTACCTCTCGGACATGAGCTACGTCCACCGGGACCTGGCCGCCCGCAACATCCTGGTCAACAGCAACCTGGTCTGCAAAGTCTCTGACTTCGGTCTGTCCCGTTTCCTGGAGGAGAACTCCTCGGACCCCACCTACACCAGCTCCCTGGTAGGTTCAGGTCACCCTCCATAGTAACACCTTCCCATGTCGTTCCTGATCAAATACCAGCCTTAGTGGCTCAAGATCTCTTTCATAGAATCATAGAATCAAAGAGTTGGAAGAGACCTCATGGGCCATCTAGTCCAACCCCATTCTGCCAAGAAGCTGGAATATTGCATTCAAATCACCCCTGACAGATGGCCATCCAGCCTCTGTTTAAAAGCTTCCAAAGAAGGAGCCTCCACCACACTCCGAGGCAGAGAGTTCCACTGCTGAACGGCTCTTACAGTCAGGAAGTTCTTCCTCATGTTCAGATGGATTCTCCTCTCTTGTAGTTTGAAGCCATTGTTCCAATGCGTCCGAGTCTCCAGGGAAGCAGAAAACAAGCTTGCTCCCTCCTCCTCCCTGTGGCTTCCTCTCACATATTTATCCATGGCTATCATATCCCCTCTCAGCCTTCTCTTCTTCAGGCTAAACATACCCAGCTCCTTAAGCCGCTCCTCATAGGGCTTGTTCTCCAGACCTTTTATCATTTTAGTCGCTCTCCTCTCCTCTTTGCATTGCCAGGATCAGCTGTGGGCTTGGGAATTTAAATAGGGTGGCAAGGGGAGGAGGCCAAAATAGATTTAGTATTATTTATTGATTATTTACAGTATTTATTTATTTAATTATTTACGACATTTATATGCCGCCCTTCTCACCCCGAAGGGGATTCAGAACAGCTTACAAGGTATATATTACATACAATATATTATATTATTAGTGGGAATTTAAATAGGGTGGCAAGGGGAGGAGGCCAAAATAGATTTAGTATTATTTATTGATTATTTACAGTATTTATTTATTTATTTAATTATTTACGACATTTATATGCCGCCCTTCTCACCCCGAAGGGGATTCAGAACAGCTTACAAGGTATATATTACATACAATATATTATATTATTAGTGGGAATTTAAATAGGGTGGCAAGGGGAGGAGGCCAAAATAGATTTAGTATTATTTATTGATTATTTACAGTATTTATTTATTTATTTAATTATTTACGACATTTATATGCCGCCCTTCTCACCCCGAAGGGGATTCAGAACAGCTTACAAGGTATATATTACATACAATATATTATATTATTAGTGGGAATTTAAATAGGGTGGCAAGGGGAGGAGGCCAAAATAGATTTAGTATTATTTATTGATTATTTACAGTATTTATTTATTTATTTGATTATTTACGACATTTATATGCCGCCCTTCTCACCCCGAAGGGGATTCAGAACAGCTTACAAGGTATATATTACATACATTATATTATTAGCATAGCACAATATCTGTATTATATATTACTATATTGTACTATACCATTATATTGTAATATTATTAGTAATATTACATGTAATATAAATATATAATTAAAACATATTATTACTAGTATTATATTGAATTATATTATAATATGTATATATAATATATTATATTATTATATTGTAATATTATTAGTAATATTACATGTAATATAAATATATAATTTTAATATCATATTATTAGAAGTATTATATTGCATTACCTTACAATATTATAAATATATGTATATACAATATATTATATTATACCATTATAGTGCAATATTATTAGTAATATTACATGTAATATAAATATATAATTAAAACATATTATTATTAGTATTATATTGAATTATATTATAATATGTATACATAATATATTATATTATTATATTGTAATATTATTAGTAATATTACATGTAATATAAATATATAATTTTAATATCATATTATTAGAAGTATTATATTGCATTACCTTACAGTATTATAAATATTATATGTATATGCAATATATTATATTATACCATTATAGTGCAATATTATTAGTAATATTACATGTAATATAAATATATAATTATATCATATTGTTATTAGTATTATATTGCATTACATTATAATATGTATATATAATATATTATATTATTATATTGTAATATTATTAGTAATATTACATGTAATATAAATATATAATTTTAATATCATATTATTAGTAGTATTATATTGCATTACCTTACAATATTATAAATATTATATGTATATACAATATATTATATTATACCATTATATTGTGATATTATTAGTAATATTACATGTAATATAAATAATTATAATATCATATTATTATTAGTATTGTATCGCATTACATTATAATATTATAAATATTATATGCATATACAATATATTATATTATATTATAAGAATTATTATTATTATTAGAAATATTATAAATAGAATATTTATATTCCGTCCTTCTCACCCTGTGGGGGATTCAAGGTGGATCACAATGCACATATACATGGCAAACATTCAATGCCATAGACACACAACATATATAGACAGACACACAGAGGCTATTTAACTTTCCAGTTTCATGAGGGTATGCTTTGAATTCCGGCCACCGGGGGAGCTGTTGCTTTACTGTCCACTTGTGACACCAATGGAGAACTTCCTCATTCTTTTGCACGGCTGATGGATAGTTTTATGGTGTCTTAAATTAGTTAAATTAGCCTCTCCGCATAAGCGGTACCTACATTTCATACTTGACAGATGCAACTGTCTTTAGGGCTGCAAAGGTCGACAGCAAGCTAGACAAATGGTTGGGTGCTTACTCCTAAATTAGTTAAATTATCCTCCCCGCATAAGCGGTACCTACATTTCATACTTGACAGATGCAACTGTCTTTAGGGCTGCAAAGGTCGACAGCAAGCTAGACAAATGGTTGGGTGCTTACTCCTAAATTAGTTAAATTAGCCTCCCCGCATAAGCGGTACCTACATTTCCTACTTGACAGATGCAACTGTCTTTCGGGCTGCAAAGGTCGACAGCAAGCTAGACAAATGGTTGGGTGCTTACTCCTAAATTAGTTAAATTAGCCTCCCTGCATAAGCGGTACCTACATTTCATACTTGACAGATGCAACTGTCTTTCGGGCTGCAAAGGTCGACAGCAAGCTAGACAAATGGTTGGGTGCTTACTCCTAAATTAGTTAAATTAGCCTCCCCGCATAAGCGGTACCTACATTTCATACTTGACAGATGCAACTGTCTTTCGGGCTGCAAAGGTCGACAGCAAGCTAGACAAATGGTTGGGTGCTTACTCCTAAATTAGTTAAATTAGCCTCCCCGCATAAGCGGTACCTACATTTCATACTTGACAGATGCAACTGTCTTTCGGGCTGCAAAGGTCGACAGCAAGCTAGACAAATGGTTGGGTGCTTACTCCTAAATTAGTTAAATTAGCCTCCCCGCATAAGCGGTACCTACATTTCATACTTGACAGATGCAACTGTCTTTCGGGCTGCAAAGGTCGACAGCAAGCTAGACAAATGGTTGGGTGCTTACTCCTAAATTAGTTAAATTAGCCTCCCCGCATAAGCGGTACCTAAATTTTGTACTTGACAGATGCAACTGTCTTTGGGGTTGCAAAGGTCGACAACAAGCTAGACAAATGGTTGGGTGCTTACTCCTAAATTAGTTAAATTAGCCTCCCCGCATAAGCGGTACCTACATTTCATACTTGACAGATGCAACTGTCTTTCGGGCTGCAAAGGTCGACAGCAAGCTAGACAAATGGTTGGATGCTTACTCCTACACGGGATGTCTTCTATGTTATGAACTTTCGGTCAATAGTGATTTTAATGCAGCTGACTCCCAACCATCTACACCACACCACCTGGTTCAATAGCCAATCAGTAGCCAATCAGTCAGTGAGATGGAGGGTGGGATGTGTTTACTTGGGAGGAAGGATGCCAAGAGGTGAGTTCAGAAGGAGAGAGCTTCTGGACCAAAGGCAAAAAAAGCCTCTCTGCCTGGTATAGGCTTCTTCTGCCTTCCTGGCCTGACCCCTTCCTTGTCTCTCTTGTTTTAGGGAGGGAAGATCCCAATCCGGTGGACGGCGCCCGAAGCCATCGCCTTCCGCAAGTTCACCTCCGCCAGTGACGTCTGGAGCTACGGCATCGTCATGTGGGAAGTCATGTCCTTCGGGGAACGGCCATATTGGGACATGTCCAACCAGGATGTGAGTGAGGCTATTCCATCACCCCACGGGAAGGCACTCCAAAGGCCATCTGGTCACAGTGTTATATAACCATATAATCATATTATATATGTGTGTGTGTGTGTGTATGTATATGTATATGCATATTCATATGCATATGCAGATGTATATGTATATACACACACACACTAGCCGTCCCCTGCCACGCGTTGCTGTGGCCCAGTCTATGTATATGTGTTTTGTATGTGTATATATTTGTGTATATGTGTATATATGTGTGCTTGTGTATATATGTGGTTTTGCGCATGTGTTGTAATGTATTTTTCTTCTTTTTTGGCTTTTTAAGTCCCTTCCACTGTGTTTTGCAGGATTTTTATGAGTGATGGTCACTCGTCGGCCTGATAGGTGTCTTGTGTCCAAATTTGGTGCCATAGAATCCTAGAATCAAAGAGTTGGAAGAGACCTCCTGGGCCATCATCCAGTCCAACCCCATTCTGCCAAGAAGCAGGAATATTGCATTCAAAGCACCCCTGACAGATGGCCATCCAGCCTCTGTTTCAAAGCTTCCAAAGAAGGAGCCTCCACCACACTCCGGGGCAGAGAGTTCCACTGCTGAACGGCTCTCACAGTCAGGAAGTTCTTCCTCATGTTCAGATGGAATCTCCTCTCTTGTAGTTTGAAGCCATTGTTCCATTGCGTCCTAGTCTCCAGGGAAGCAGAAAACAAGCTTGCTCCCTCCTCCTCCCTGTGGCTTCCTCTCCCATATTTATACATGGCTATCATATCTCCTCTCAGCCTTCTCTTCTTCAGGCTAAACATGTCCAGCTCCTTAAGCCGCTCCTCATAGGGCTTGTTGTCCAGACCCTTGATCATTTTAGTCGCCCTCCTCTGGACACATTCCAGCTTGTCAGTATCTCTCTTGAATTGTAGTGCCCAGATTCGTCTAGTGGTTTTTGAGTTCTGTTAATCCCACAAACCAATAATACATTTTTATTTATATAGATACTAGCCATCCCCTGCCACGTGTTCCTGTGGCCCAGTCTGTATATGTGTTTTGTGTGTGTATATATTTGTGTATATGTGTATATATGTGTGCTTGTGTATATATGTGGTTTTGTGCGTGCGTTGTGATGTATTTTTGGGGGGTTTTTTTTGGCTTTTTAAGTCCCTTCCACTGTGTTTTTCAGTTTTTTTGTGAGTGATGGTCACTCGTTGGCCTGATAGGTGTCGTGTGTCTAAATTTGATGTCCAATCGTTCAGTGGTTTTTGATTTATGTTAATCCCACAAATGAACATTTATATATATATCTATATATATATATATACACACACACACACATACAAGCTGTCCCCTGCCAAGCGTTGCTGTGGCCCACATGGGGGTTCTGTGTGGGAGGTTTGGCCCAATTCTATCATTGGTGGGGTTCAGAATGCTCTGTGATTGTAGGTGAACTATACATCCCAGCAACTACAACTCCCAAATGTCAAGATTCTATTTTCCCCAAACTCCACTAGTGTTCACATTTGGGCATATTGAGTATTCGTGTAGAGTTTGGTCCAGATCCATCATTGTTTGAGTCCACAGTGATCTCTGGATGCAGGTGAACTACAACTCCAAAACCAAAGGACACTGCCCACCAAACCCTTCCAGTATTTTCTGTTGGTCATGGGAGAACTGTGTGCCAGGTTTGGTTCAATTCCATCGTTGGTGGGGTTCAGAATGCTCTTTGATTGTAGGTGAACTATAAATCCCAGCAACTACAACTCCCAAATGACAAAAAATTTTGAGTGGAGGGCATACATTGAGTTGTTAGGTGTCTTGTGTCCAAATTTGGTGTCAATTCATCCAGTGGTTTTTGAGTTCTGTTAATCCCACAAACGAACATTACCTTTATGGTTATGGTTATGGTTTTGGTTGTGGTTGTGGTTGTTGTTGTGGTTATGGTTGTGGTTATGGTGATAGATAGATAGATAGATAGATAGATAGATAGATAGATAGATAGATAGATAGATAGATAGATAGATAGATAGATAGATAGACAGATTAAACTAAAAATAAATCATAAAGTCATAGTGTTAGGAAAAACCCCAAAGGCAGTCCAATCCCCTTCTGTCAGGCAGGAAGACACAATTAAAGCCCCCCTGACAGATGGTCATCCAGCTTCTGCTTATGGTTATGGTTATGGTTATGGTTATGGTTAGATAGATAGATAGATAGATAGATAGATAGATAGATAGATAGATAGATAAAAAGGTAAAGGTAGTCCCCTGACATTACGTCCAGTCATGTCTGACTCTGGGGTGTGGTGCTCATCTCCATTTCTAAGCCGAAGAGCCAGCGTTGTCCGTAGACACCTCCAAGGTCATGTGGCCGGCATGACTGCATGGAGCGCTGTTACCTTCCCGCTGGAGCGGTACCTATTGATCTACTCACATTTGCATGTTTTCGAACTGCTAGGTTGGCAGAAGCTAGGGCTGACAGCGGAAGCTCACGCCACTCCCCGGAATCGAACCTGCGACCTTTTGATCAACAAGCTCAGCAGCTCAGTGCTTTAACCCACTGCGCCACCGGGGGCTCCATAGATAGATAGATAGATAGATAGATAGATAAAAATAAAAATAAATCATAGAGTCATAGTGTTAGGGAAAGTCCCAAAGGCAGTCCCATTCCCTTCTGCCAGGCAGGAAGACACAATTAAAGCCCCCCTGACAGATGGCCATCCAGCTTCTGCTTAAGTACCTTCAAAGGAGGCTCCACTGGACTCCAAGGCAAAAGCAGATTCCACTCTCTCTCTAACTAGAATCTCTTCTCCTGCCATGGCAGGAAAAGTGAAATCCTAGCACTATAATTCCATAGTGCCGATTGGCCTTTGGATTGATCATGACTCTCCTACTCCATCTAAAAGCCCAGGAGGGTTCCTCTTCTTCACCTCACGTTCAGGACCTGACCCCCATCTTTCTCTCTCTGCAGGTGATCAATGCCATTGAGCAGGACTATCGCCTGCCGCCGCCCACGGACTGCCCTACCTCGCTGCACCAGCTGATGCTGGACTGCTGGCAGAAGGACCGCAACGCCCGGCCCAGGTTCGCCCAGATCGTCAACTCCCTGGACAAGCTCATCCGCAACCCGGCCAGCCTCAAGATCGTCTCACGGGGCAACGGAGGGTGAGTGGCTCTTAGAATCCGAGCGTTGGGGAGGTCCCTCCAAGGGCCATCCAGCCCAACCCTCTTCTGCCAGGAAGGAAGACACCATCCAAGCCCTCCTGACAGGTTGCCGTCCAGCATCTGCTTACACGTCTCCAGAGAAGGAGACTGTCATGTTGCCAGGGCTCTGCCTTATTTAGGTAGAGATGAATCAAACTCCCAGTTTCAACAAACAGTGTAATTAAAACAGCACTTACCTGCTGGCTGTTTTTATGGTCCAAAATATAAAACACAAAGATAACACTCAGCTACAGAATAAACAAAAACCGATAGCAAAAATAACTTCGTAGTCAAAAGGGTCCAGTCCAGTGGTCAAATGCCGAGAGTTCAATAAACAAAGTCCAGGGATCCAGAGTCTATACTGTAGTCAAAAGCCAGTCCAAAGGTTCAAGGTTCCATGATTCCAAGCTTACAGGAGACAGGTCAGGATACCGAAAAATCCAACAGACCCAGGGGAAAAACAAGCAGCATCCACCACCAAAATACAACAGATACTTTTCTCCCAAAGATCAGTCTCAAGGTTAGCTACCGGGCACAATTCAAAGTGCTGGCGTTAGTCTATAAAGCCCTAAACGGTTCTGGACCAACTTACCTGTCCAAACGTATCTCCTCCTATGAACCAGCTAGGATGTTAAGTTCGTCTGGGGAGGCCTTGCTCTCGGTCCCGCCTGCATCACAAGTACGGTTGGCGGGGATGAGAGACAGGGCCTTCTCAGTGGTGGCCCCTCAGATGTGGAACGCCCTTCCCACAGAAATTAGATCGGCCCCCTCCCTGTTCACATTTCGGAGGAAAGTGAAGACCTGGTTGTTTGAGCAGGCATTTGAATAGGCAGTGTAACTAATATAGGAATTTGGAACATTTGGAAGATGAGACTGGACCTTGATTTTAACTATGAGACGAGATGAGATGTTATGATGTTTATTGATTGTTATAATGTTATTCTTTTAACTTGTTTTTAACTGTTTTTATCATGTTTAAGTATTGTATTTGCTTTGTTAACCGCTCTGAGTCGCCCAGAGAAGAGCGGTATACAAAAATAGTAAATAAATAAATACGCCCAGTCGTCTTATATGCTGGAATATACGGGTATTTAAAATAATCCTGCCTGTTCAAGGCAATTTAAAAAGGCTGGGCCGAGGCTAGTGCAATTTCTAGAGAGCCTGGGAAATTAGGTGCAACGCTATAGCAGGCAACAACAATCATAGTTATAGTCTATGGCTGTCCATTTCCAGGGCCGAATAGGAGGAAGTGACCTGGATAAGTGGTAGAAAAAAAAGATGGCCGTATTCAACAATATCTGGGGCTGAGCTAGAACTAGTCGTTCTCAAAGGCTTCTTTAAACCACCTCTTACGAAAGAAGGGGAGAGATGGGGTCTGTCTTATTTCTCTAGGAAGGGCCTTACAGAGGCAGGGGGCCACCACCGAGAAGGCCTCTCTCTCTCTCGTCCCCACTAATCGTGCTTGTGATGGTGGTGGGAGTGAGAGGAGGGCCTCCCTAGAAGATCTTAGAGTTTGCACCGGTTCTTCAACCTCTTACGAAAGGAGGGGAGGGATGGGGTCTGTCTTATTTCTCTAGGAAGGGCCTTATAGAGGCGGGGGGCCACCACCGAGAAGGCCCTCTCTCTCTCTCGTCCCCACTAATCGTGCTTGTGATGGTGGTGGGAGTGAGAGGAGGGCCTCCCCAGAAGATCTTAGAGTTTGCGCTGGTTCTTCAAGCTGTTACGAAAGGAGGGGAAGGATGGGGTCTGTCTTATTTCTCTAGGAAGGGCCTTACAGAGGCGGAGGGCCACCACCAAGAAGGCCRTCTCTCTCTCGTCCTCACTAATCGTGCTTGTGATGGTGGTGGGAGTGAGAGGAGGGCCTCCCCAGAAGATCTTAGAGTTTGCGCCGGTTCTTCAAGCTCTTACGAAAGGAGGGGAGGGATGGGGCCTGTCTTATTTCTCTAGGAAGGGCCTTACAGAGGCGAGGGGCCACCACCGAGAAGGCCCTCTCTCTCTCTCTCTCGTCCCCACTAATCATGCTTGTGATGGTGGTGGGAGTGAGAGGAGGGCCTCCCCAGAAGATCTTAGAGTTTGCGCCGGTTCATAGAGGGTTCATAGAGGGTTCATAGAATTGCATTTGATTTTTTAGCTGCTGCATCACATCAAGTAAATATATTATTATTATAGTTAATGGGATCCTGCTATCGTCTCTTAAATGAGACACAAAGCAGCTAAATTGGTTCCCATCCTCTTCCCGACGCCTTCATCTGCCCTTAAAATCAGGAGCCCTTTCATGCTGGTCCCATGATTTTTGGGGAGACCAGGTGGGTTTTGGGGGGTGGCAGATGGTCCCAAGGCTTCATTTCTCATCCCACGTCCCTCCCATCTTGTCACCTTGCCTCCCTTTGTGCCTCCACCTGGACACAGGTAGAAACAACCTGGTTCTCTGACCCTTTCCCTCCCTTCTTTCCGTCATCCTAGGCCGTCCCACCCTCTCCTGGACCAGCGCCTGCCCCACTATTCCTCCTTCGGCTCCGTCGGGGACTGGCTCCGCGCCATCAAGATGGGACGCTACGAAGAGAGCTTCGCCAACGCCGGCTTCACCTCCTTCGAACTGGTCAGCCAGATGTCCACCGAGTGAGTGAGCCAGATGGAAGGGAGGGGGGAAGGAGAAAGAGGGATGGCACTGCGGTGGACAGCCTTAGAGCCATTTTTCATCTCGTTTTAATCGCCGTAGCTTCATCCTGGGATTTTTGGTTTGGAGAAGCAAGTGGGATTCTCAGAGAAGTCTGATGTGTGTCCCCTGAACTATATTATTATTATTTGATACACAACAAGAGTGATACACAGCAAACAAGGCCACTCTGCTGGCTGTTGTATTGGATCACACATCATAAACCTCCCAAGGGTCTAGGATTGTGCGTGCAGATCCGAGCAGGGTGGCCTTTTGCAGCTGACAGGTGGTAATTTTGTCAGCACCAATTGTTTTTAAGTGCATGCCAAGGTCTTTAGGCGCTGCACCCAGTGTGCCAATCACCGCTGAGACCCCCTTGACAGGCTTGTGCCAGAGTCTTTGCAGTTCTATCTTTAAATCCTCATTATTATTATTATTATTATTATTATTATTATTATTATTATTTACACAACAAAAGTAATACACAGCAAATAAAGTCACTCTGCTGGCTGTTGTGTTGGATCACACATCGTACACTTCCCAAGTGTTTAGGATAGTGTGATGTATCAGCAAATAATGCGTGCAGATCCGAGCAGGGTCTCTTTTTGCAGCTGACAGGTGGTAATTTTGTCAGCACCAATTGTTTTTAAGTACATGCCAAGGTCTTTAGGCGCTGCACCCAGTGTGCCGATCACCACCGGGACCCCCTTGACTGGCTTGTGCCAGAGTCTTTGCAGTTTGATCTTTAAATCCTCTTATTATTATTATTATATTTTTAGATACTACTTTTCCCTTTATTGAAATGCAAACTATGCCTCCCAAGAACTCTTAATTTAATCCTTAATATCCTCAAGTTATCTTGGGAGCTGTAGTTCAAGAGAGCCCGCCAAAGCTCTCTAGCAGGAAAATCGTAGTCATTTGCTGAACTAAAATCCCAAGATTCCTTAGGACGGAGCCCAATTCATTTCCCTATCCTCCTTCTCAAAATACTTTGGGAATTATAGTTTAGGAGATGACACCAGTAGCAAAAAACCCTTGAACTACACTTCCCATATTTTCATATTTTCTTTCCTCAAGGCATCATGGGAGATGTAGTCCAGGAGAGGGCACCAGCGCTCTCTGGGAGACGACGAATAGTCATTTGCTAAACTGTAAATCCCAAGGTTGTTGTAGGTTTTTCAGCCTGTATGGCCACGTTCCAGTAGCATTCTCTCCTGACGTTTCGCCTGTATCTATGGCAAGCATCCTCAGAGGTAGTGTGGTCTGTTGGAACTAGGAAAATGGGTTTATATATCTGTGGAATGACCAGGGTGGGACAAAGGACTATTGTCTGCTGGAGCTAGGTGGGAATGTTTCAACTGACCAAATTGATTAGCATTTGATGAGCATTCGATTGCCTGGCAGCGCCTGGAGGAAACTTTTGTTGAGAGGTGATTAGATGTCCTTGTTTGTTTCCTCTCTGTTGTTGTGCTGTTCTATGATGGCACGATCATCAGCATAGATGAAGCTCTCCGTCCCTTCTGGCAGTGGCTGGTCATTTGTGTAGATGTTGAACATGGATGGAGCAAGCACGCTCCCCTGAGGCAGGCCGTTCTTCTGTTTCCGCCATCTGCTTCTCTGGCCCTGGAATTTATTTATTTATTTATTTGGGGTGCTTCTACCCCACCCTTCTCAACCCCCTCGGGGGGACTCAGGGCGGCTTACAAAAAGGCACAATTCGGTGCCTAACAATTCACAAAATACAATACAATATACAATATGCAATACACACATTTACCATATAATATCAACAATTATAACGAATTAAAACAGTCAAACAATATACTAGCAGCAATAAAATCATCTTGTGGTCAATGTTCGCCAATTCATGATCCGTAATCCATCCAGCACTGTCATTATCCTTTCCTACTCTGGTCGTCATTGGTTGTCTTTGTCCATCTGCCAGCTTACCCAAAGGCCTGGTCCCACATCCAGGTTTTTAGCTTCCTTCTGAAAGCAAGGAGGAACGTTGCTGTCCTAATCTCCCCCGGGAGTGCATTCCACAGGCGAGGGGCCACCACCGGGAAGGCCCTGTCCCTCGTCCCCACCAGTCTCGCTTGTGATAAAGGTGGGGCCGAGAGCAGGGCCTCCCCCGCAGATCTTAAACTCCAAGGTGGGATGTAGAAGGAGATACGTTCAGACAGGTACGCTGGGCTGGAGCCGTAAAGAGTTTTGTAGGTCAAAACCAGCACTTTGAATTGTGCTTGAAACTGGATCGGCAGCCAGTGGAGCTGATATAACAGAGGGGTGGTGTGCTCCCTGTATGACGCTCCGGTGAGTAATCTGGCCGCCGCCCGTTGGACTAATTGAAGTTTCCAAACAGTCTTCAAAGGCAACCCCACGTAGAGCGCGTTGCAGTAATCTATTTGGGATGTAACAAGAGCGTGGACCACCGTGGCCAGATCCGACTTCCCAAGGAACGGGCGCGGCTGGCGCACAAGTTTTAATTGTGCAAAAGCTCTCCCGGCCACCGCTGAAACCTGGGGCTCCAGGCTCAGCAATGAGTCCAGGATCACTCCCAAGCTGCGAACCTGCGTCTTCAGGGGGAGTGTAAGGCCATCCAACACAGGCTGTCACCCTATGCCCTGTTCGGCCTTACGACTGACCAGGAGGACCTCTGTCTTGTCTGGATTCAGTTTCAATTTGTTAGCTCTCATCCAGTCCGACACAGCGGCCAAGCACCGGTTCAAGGTCTGGACAGCCTCCTTGGTGACAGGTGGGAAGGAGTGACAGATTTGGACATCATCTGCGTGGAGATAACATCTTAGTCCGTAAGATAACAACTCAACAAAAAAGCTCCTGTTTTGTAGCAGGTTTCCTATGAGGCGGGTGAGGTGGTCGTCCTTTGAAAATGACAGTTATGAAGTAGCAACAAAAGGAATTTTATGGTTGGGGGTCACCATAATATGAGGAAGTGTATTAAGGGGTTGCGGCATTAGGAGGGTTGAGAAACACTGCTTTAAAGTGATATCAAAGTGGTATAACTCTGCAGTGCGGAGGGGCAAAGGAGGGATGGACACAAACCCTTTCCTCTCTCTTTCCTCCGCAGGGACCTGCTCCGGATCGGGGTGACTTTGGCCGGGCACCAAAAGAAGATCCTGTCCAGCGTCCAGAACATGCAGCTCCCCAGCAAATCGGGGCCCTCAGTTGGGCCCAAAGCCGGACATTACTGACCCGAGAGACTGAAGGATGCGAATGGGATGTCGCGGGTTTCCCGGAGACTCTGCTGAACGGGAATCCTGTGGGGACGATGGCTGCCGGCCCCCTCTCCCTCGCTCCCTGCCTCCCTTTCCCCCCTTGAACCCCCTTTTCAGGATGGAGGGTCATTCTGGCCCATCCTTCCACCTCCTTCAAAAGGGCAGCCAAGGTGTTTGACTCTCAAACGGGTGTGAAAAGAGCAGGAAAACAAACGGATCTTTCTGCTCAAAGACTGAAGGCAGTCCTCATTGTTTACTGTCCTTCAAGATGGCTGCCGCCCTTTGTGTTGACATCCAGGCGTCATATGTTAGGACTCTCGTTTCGGAGGGCCGTTGGGTCCCCGAAAGACCCTGACGCTTTCACGTCTTCCGAACCATTCAGGAACCTGGAAATGCCAAAGATGGCCTCTCCGATGTCCACTTCCTGCACTGTGATTCTGCCCCAAATGGTCATTCTTCCCACGTTTGGGGTTCAACCAATGAAAATAATGAGTTCTTCCATGAATACGGGCATTTTGTGGACGCTGGGAATCCAAAATGGTGCCGCCACGCTTTGCCTCACGGTTGTGAGTGAAAATCACCAGAGGCCTTACTAAAAACTTTAGTTTTTTTACGGAGGGGTTTTGCCACCCTCTTGTCTCCTCAATTTTGGGAACGGGACGTTGTTCGATCCAAAATGGACGCTTTGGGAGGAGAGGGACGGGATTGGGGTCGCGGTATGCCTTGGGGGGCCCTGTCGCCCCGACTTCCATAATCCAAGAGCCAAAGATGGAGTAAAAGTGGGCATTTTCATGACATATGTCCCACCTAAGAGTAGAACTTGCATATGATGTCATTACGCAAAAATCAAGCTTTGGTGTGATGTCATCAGAGCAAGGATGTGACACCGTACCCTCCGACCAATGAGAATGGAGTCACGGAGACAGGAAGTACTGTCGAAGGCTTTCATGGTCGGAATCACTGGGTTGTTGTAGGTTTTTCCGGGTTATATGGCCATGTTCTGGAGGCATTCTCTCCTGACGTTTCGCCTGCATCTATGGCAAGCATCCTCAGAGGTAGTGAGGTCTGTTGGAACTAGGAAAAAGGGTTTATATATCTGTGGAATGACCAGGGTGGGACAAAGGACTCTTGTCTGCTGGAGCTAGGTGTGAATATTTCAACTGACCACCTTAATTAGCATTTGATGGCTTCGCAGTGCCTGGGGGAATCTTTTGTTGAGAGGTGATTAGATGTCTCTGATTGTTTTCCCTCATAGAATTAAAGAGTTGGAAGAGACCTCCTGGGCCATCCAGTCCAACCCCATTCTGCTAAGAAGCAGGAATATTGCATTCAAATCACCCCTGACAGATGGCCATCCAGCCTCTGTTTAAAAGTTTCCAAAGAAGGAGCCTCCACCACACTCCGGGGCAGAGAGTTCCACTGCTAAACGGCTCTCACAGTCAGGAAGTTCTTCCTCATATTCAGATGGAATCTCCTTTCTTGTAGTTTGAAGCCAGTTTCAAACCAGAGAAGGAGGGAATTTCCTGGCTTTGGCTCAAGCCAGAGAAGCCAGTTTCAAACCAGAGAAGGAGGGAATTTCCTGGCTTCGGCTCAAGCCAGAGAAGCCATTTTCAAACCAGAGAAGGAGGGAATTTCCTGGCTTTGGCTCAAGCCAGAGAAGCCAGTTTCAAACCAGAGAAGGAGGGAATTTCCTGGCTTCGGCTCAAGCCAGAGAAGCCAGTTTCAAACCAG